CCACACTCGGTGATGCTCAGGGCTTGCTCCCGGCTCTGCACTCAGGGCTCACTCCTGGCGGTGCTGGGGGACCCTGTGGGACGCCAGGAATTGAACTCGGGTGTCCCACGTGCAAGGAAAGCGCCCTACCCGTTGTACTGTCACTCCAGCCCCTCGTTAAGAGTTTTTTTGTACCTACACCTGTTGGTGCTCTGGATTTACCCCTGGCTCTGCACTCAGGAATTACCCTTGGCGGTGAAGGGGGACCGTATGGGATGCCGGGCACTGGACCCGGGTCATTGCATGCAAGGCCAGCGCCCTCCCCACTACACTGTCCTCCACCCCTTACTGTAGTTTTTGATAGTAAATTTTTTGTCAGTGGTGCTGGGGATTGAATAGGGGTCTGACACATGCCAGGCAAGTTTTAGATTCTGAGCCCCGTCTCCTGTCCACATTGTCAATTTTTTTTTTTAATTGTTTGGTGGGGTTGGAGCGATAGCACAGCAGGTAGGGCGTTTACCTTGAACGTGGCCAACCTGGGTTCGATTCCTCTGTCTCTCTCACAGAGCCCGGCAAGCTTCCGAGAGTATCTCGCCCGCACGGCAGAGCCTGGCAAGCTCCCCGTGGCGTATTCGATATGCCAGACACAGTAACAACAAGTCTCACGATGGAGACGTGACTGGTGCCCGCTCGAGCAAATCGATGAACAGCGGGAGGACAGTGCTACAATTGTTCAGTGGGGGGAAGGGGAGCATTTGGGCCACACCCAGCTCTGCTCAGAAGCTACTCCAGACTCTGTGCTCAGGGGTCACTTGGGGCGGTGCTCGGGGAACCGTCTGTGGTGCTGGGGGATGAAGCAGGTGCTGGCTGTGCCTGGTAACTCCTCACGCTGTTTCTCCAGCTCTCAGTGTCATTTCTAAAGGTTGATGGAGGCTGAAGACTTCTTTGGCTGTTGCGTTTCGGGCCACAGCCCGTGATGTCCAGAGCTTACTTCTGGCCTTGTGTTCAGGGATCTCTCTTGGCGGGCTCGGGGGACCATATGGGGTGCTGGGGGTTGAGTCCTTGTAGGCTGCATGCAAGACAGCTGCCCTATGGCCTCTATGATCATACCTGCCCAAAAGAAATACAGTATCTAATGTCAGTGTGTTTTGCAGTTATATTGGATTTGTCTGATATATTTTCAGAGTAGCCCCTTTATCCACCCAGTATATGTCATGTTGCGATGACAGAATTTACTGGGTCATGATCTGAAGGTGCGAAACTGTGTTTTCCTGGCGGACTCATCAGGAATCTTTCTCATATCCCATGACTAGAAGATGGGCTTGCGGGCCTTGCGGTCTGTTAGTCTCTTTGACTGTGTTAGGGCCTGAGAACTTTGATTTACGCATTTCATGTTTTGGCAGCTTCCAACAGGACAAGAACTTTTCTTTCTTTCTTTCTTTCTTTCTTTCTTTTTTTTTTTTTGAACTAAAACAGATTCTATTTGGAAGCTTTGAAAGAGGGAGACAGTGGAGAGTAACATGCTCAAGAGAGAACCTGGGGTTCTCCGAGGGCGGAGAGAGCCCCTGCACAACACATCCCAGCACTAGACACGAAAGCATGAACGTCCACCTCTCAAGAGGGGAGATGCGGGCGACACGTGTGCTCGGCCACGTGGGCACAGGCAGCACCTGGGCTCTGGAAGCATATATGCGCTGGACAGGAACTTTTCAGCGTGAGAAAAGCTGTGTTAGGAATGGCAGATAGTCCCTGACTTAGGTGTCTATAGATTTCAGGGACTTCGGGGGGGCACTAGTTTTCTTGAAGAATGATTTCTGGTTCCCTTCACTGTCATTTGACAGTAACGCTGCCTCAGCGCCCGTCACTGATGGCCTGGTCCTGTTTGCCTCCTTGCGAGTGCCCCTGCAGGAGACAGACCTGATGCTTCCAAGGCAGAACCCCAATTTCTTATTTTATTTTATTTTGTTTTATTTTTTTATTAGTGAAACACCATGAGATACAGTTGTAGACTTACAAGTTTTTGTGCTTGGGTTTCAGTTATACAATGATCAAATACCCATCCCTTCAACAGTGCCCATTTCCCACTACCACGGATCCCAGTATCCCTCCTACCCCCCATCACCCCCATCCCACCCTGCCTCTGTGGCAGGGCATTCCCTTTTTTCTCTCTCTCCTTTTGGGTGCTGTGGTTTGCAGAAGAGGCATTGGGTGGCAATCATGTTCGGTCTATAGTCTACTTTCAGCATGCTTCTCCCATCCTGGGAGGATCCTCCAAACACCCTTTATTTGGTGCTCCCTTCTCTATCTGAGCTGCCCTTTCCCCTAGCATGCCTGACTGGCCTCTAAGCCATGGAGTAATCCTCTTGGTACTGATCTCAGCTATTCTTGGGTGTTAGTCCCTTATTTTTTTACTTTATGTTACCCAAATGAATGCAATCTTTGTATGTCTGTCCCTCTCTTTCTGGCTCATTTCACTTAGCATGATCCTTTCCATGTAGTACCACTTGTATGTAAATTTCATGACTTCATCTTTTCTAACAGCTGCATAGTACTCCATTGTGTAGATGTACCAAAGCTTCTTTAACCAGTCGGGCACTCAGGTTTTTTCCAGGTTCTGGCTATTGTAAAGAGTGCTGCAATGAACAAACAAGTGCAGATGTCACTTCGACTATACATTTTTGCCTCTCCGGGGTATATTCCCAGGAGTGGTATTGCTGGGTCACCCAATTTCTTATTTTAAAGTAAAAGTTCACACATGCCTCCTTTTCTTCCCCCTTTTGCGACTGGGTAGTCGTTTTTTTTTTTTTTTTTTCCCAACTTGGCATTTTCACTCATGATCGGATAGGGTAGGAGCATTTTATATGAAAAGGATCCGATACCACCAAGACAACACTTTAAATGTTAATGGAATTCTCTTAGGTCAGCATCATGAAAACTTACATTTTGGCCTATCTCGCACTTTCAGAAAGTTCTCTTTGCCTTTTGTACAATTGACTTCTGTATTGATCCTTAAATTTAAGCGTTCTTAGAGTCAGCACGCCAGGTAGGTGCTGCCTTGTGGGGCCCGGGTCATATCAGATAATGGATATTAGCTGCATGTTAGGAATATCTGCTTTAGTTTGGAAGTGTCCGTTGTTTTGTATGTTTTGGGCCACACCTGGCAATGCTCAGGGGCTGCTCCTGGCGGTGCTCGAGAGACTATTTGGGATGCCGGGAATAAAAACCTGGGTCGGCAGCGTGCAAGACAAACGCCCTGGCCGCTGTCCTAGCACTACGGCCCTAGGCTTCTATTTTTATATATTTTAATGGGAAACGTAGAATATTCACAAAGGAGAGAAACTTGTATGACAGATTATTTGCATATTCATCTCCTGCCTGGAGTAGTTTGATCGTGGATCTTGTTTTATAGAGAGCACACACCGTTCCCCGAGTTACTTTCCTCAGGAATCCCCCAATGTTCTGAGATAAAGCCCAGACATCACGGAATTTCATTGAGAAGTCGCTCGGTTTAGATCTCTCCGGGTCAGACTGTTGGCATCTGCACCGAGTCCCCGCTAGCCTCGCCGGGGAGAAGTTCAGGAATGCTGCAAACAGGCCTTGGCTGCATTTTCATCGTTGCCGATTTGCATTTAGAGAGATCTGGAGTTAAAGTACATATTGGGGCATTTTATTATTCCAGTCAGTCTCAGCATTCGAAATGTTGATTTTTGTAAATAATGTCTAAGAAACCACTTTGAAGCCCCCCCGGCATGAATATGTATGAGGTGGTCTGGCGGTTTCCAGCTCAGAGCTGGGACCTGCAGTTCTCGCTGGCTGCCGTTTGTTCGGGGCACTCGGGGTACTCGTCCCCTCCCCTCCCGGCCCCCCTTCCCCCCGTTTGTTTATTTAAGGGCTGAGAAGCAGGCAGCAAGTTGTAGATGGAATTCAGTGAGTTTCTACATATGAGAGAGAGACAGAGACAGAGACAGAGAGAAGGGAGGTGGCAGGGCCGCCCAGTGGTGGCCGCGGCTGGGTTATCTGCCAACCTTTCCCGCTCTCACCTGCCCAGCTTCCTGTCTGGCTTTTGGTTTTTGGTTTTTGGGGCCGCACACAGTGTGGCCCAGGGACTGTGTGCGGCATCAGGGCAGGCGCCCCCCGCTCCCCCATCTGCCCGCTTCTCCTCTCGGGTCCCGGCTCTCCTCCTCCCGCTCCTGGGCTCCCCTTTTGCCTCTTCTCCTTTGGCATCTGTTTTGCTTGGCCCAGAGCGTTTGTGGCCAGGAGGGTGGCCGAGTCCTCTCTCAGACGCCGTTCTAATGTACAGGGGGTTGTGAAGTAAACTTTAAGAAGCCGAATATTTCGGGATCGTTTCTTGTGCTTTATTTACTTTGATCACGATCATCTTGTTGTTCGTCGATTGGCTCGAACAGGCACCAGTAACGTCTCCTTCTTCCTAGCCCTGAGATTTTTTTTTTTCTTTTTGGATCACACCCAGTGATGCTCAGGGGTTATTCCTGGCTCTGAACTCAGGAATTACTCCTAGCGATGCTTGGGGGACCATATGGGATGCCGAGGATCAAACCCAGGTCGGCTGCGTGCAAGGCAAACGCCCTACCCGCTGTGCTATCGCCCCGGCCCCTAGCCCTGAGATTTTAAAAGAGCCATATTCACTGCTCTTTCAGGGCTAGGAGAATGAGACCCATCATGGTTACTGGTATTTGGCATATTGAGTACGACGCGGGAAGTTTGCCAGACTCTGCCGTGCGGGCAGGATACCCTCGGTAGCCTGCTGGGTTCTCCAAAGGAAAAACGAGATAATAAGATGTTTACTTTTATAGACATTTAAAAACATTTCTTTAATGCGTTCAGATATTTGCGACCTGTAGGCTCGGTGGAGCTTTTTTTGACACCCTGGGTGGATTAATTGTTCATTGCGTGAAATCATTCATTTTCTGAATATTCTTTAATAATTTGTTTTTTCTCTGTGTTCTCTCTCTCATGGCCTCTTTCCCCGGACGAAACCGACTCTTCTCTTTTGACTGCAGTTCACCAGGTTTCTCTGCAGTTCACCGTTGGAGGTAAGAGTTTGTGACTCCCTTCTTGCAAGAATTGCTGCCTTCTATCAATATTAATGCCACTCATTAAAAATAACTGATGAACGCAGGCATTCTTTAGGAGGCATGTGGGGGACTTCTATCATACCTGGCAGAGCCCAGGATTTACTCCTGGCTCCGTGCACAGAGGTCACTGCCAGTGGGGCTCTGGGCTACCACACGTAGGATGCCAGGGATTGAACTTGGTGCGCTGCATGCAAGGCGAGTGCCTTATCTGCTCTGCTAGCCCTTGTGCCCCCAGGGCAGATATTTTGGAAAGAAATGTCTGTGAGGAATAGAGCTCTGTCCCTTTACAACAGGCTCCTTGTCTTTTGGGGGTGGTCGGGGGGGAGGGGTTCATGGCCACATGCAGTGGTGCTCAGGGCTTTCTCCTGGCTCTGTGCTCAGGGGTGCCGGGGATTGAACCCAGCTTGGCTGTGTGCAAGGCAGAAGCTCTACGTGCTATACTGTTGCTCCGGCCCTGCATTCACTGCCTCTTTCAAAATGCTTTTTTTCCTCTCCCTGTAATAAGAATAATGAAATGAACTCTTTTTATTAAAAAAAATAATAATAATAAAAGAGGGGCTGGAGCAATAGTACAGCAAGTAGGGCGTTTTGCCTTGCATGCGGCTGACCTGGGTTCGATTCCCAGCATCCCATATGGTCCCCTGAGCACCACCAGGAGTAATTCCTGAGTGCATGAGCCAGGAGTAGCCCCTGTGTATTGCCCAAAAAGGAAAAAAAAAAAAGAAAAAAGAAAATCTTAGGAAGAGGGGCAGCAAGGGTGGAATGGGGGGTGAGGGGCGAGGAGGAGAGAAACAGGGTGGGTTCCGTGTCCGACACTCCGTGTGCCCCTCTGGCCACTGCCACGAGGAAGCCCAAACAGACCCAGAACCAGAACCGGGAGCGAGGGTCTGAGAAGCAGGCAGGAGGCCGAGTTGGCTTTGCTTTGCTGTGACTTGACTCGTCTGCAGAATAGAGCCCGCTGAAGCAGGCACGATTCTTCCTGCTTGTCTGAGTCTCCCGGCTTGGGGAGGAAGTGGTGGCACCAGCGAGGAACTGAGTACAAATAGGAGCGGACGGATGAGTGACTAAATGTGCAGGTGGGACTTGGGCACTTTTTAAATTTTCTGGTCTTTGGGCCACATCCAGCACTGGAGCTCAGCTGAGGCTTACTCTTAGACCTGCACTCAGGGATCAGTCTTGGTGGTGCGCAGAGAACCAGGATGGGGTGTGGGGCGTCAAGTCCAGGTTGGCCGTGCAAGGCAAGTGCCCTCCCCACAGTGCCAGAACAGGCTTTTTTTTTTTTTTTACTTTTGGGTCACACCCAGTGATGCTCCGGGGTTACTCCTGGCTCTGCACTCAGAAATTACTCCTGGCGGTGCTCCTGGACCATGTGGGATGCTGGGAATCGAACCCAGGTTGGCCGCGTGCATGGCAAATGCCCTATCTGCTGTGCTATCGCTCCAGCCCCCGGAACAGGCTTTTTATGCGTAGTCCAGTGAGCTCATTTAATAGCTCAGAAGGGCGGATATATTTGTTCCCATGCGGTGAGGCATCCGTGTTTCCAGCTAGAATGTCACTGTGTGAGGTAAGGAGCTCGGTCCCTTCCAGCCGTGGGCTTCGAGGAGACCCTTGTAGAGAATTGGGACAAATAATGACAGTGTTAAAAATTACACTTTGCGCGTGTGTGTTTGGTTCTTGTTTTTGTAAAGCAAAGCAGTTTTTATTGAAAGAAATTTAGAGAAATGTGAGGGGAGAGGAAGAGCTATATGTTCAAGCAGAGAACACAGGCGTCTCCCTGGAAAAAGCCGCCACCCTGGTTAAATGTTGGAAATGTGTGTGTGGAAATTTGAGTCTTCGGTGAGAAGTCGAAGGTGGAAAGATCCCAGCCAAGCGATGGCTTTGTCAGTTTCTTCCTGATCCGCTTTCTCCAGTTAATGGTCTGGAGTTGCCTTTTTTCTTGGCTAAATTCATCTTTTTTTTCTCTCCGGGCACGATGGATGCAAAGCAGGAAAAGAGTATAAATGAAGGGTGCCTAATATGGTTCTGTTGGAGCATTTTGGAAGAACCTTGTTCTCTCCAACTTGGCATTCTGCAGGGGCTACTTGGTGGCCTGGTTCCTGGCCATTGCCCCCACATCTCCTGAAGTTCCGAAAGTGGACCTCTGCTCCTTTGCCGCCGTGCCTGAGCACGCCCAGAGCCAAAGACTGTGTCGGGGTCCAGACGCTTGCTTTCATCACTAAGCTTGCGTCTGGCCGCAGGAAAAAAATCACACAACATAATGGCAGAAGCCCCATCTCTTTTCTGGTTCGGCCTCAAAGAACATTCTCGTGGAGACTACAAAATACTCAGGAGGCTGGGAGTTGAAAATGCCGAGTCTTGAAATTTTGCCTTGTCCACTAAATCTCCTGGGAGTGAGTCATGTCCGGTTTGTCCTCGGTCCTAAACGGTTAACTGCCACATGCAGCTAAGGAAATGGTCAGGTCATTTGATCTGCTGTCCTTTGAACGGGCCGTGCGTGCGTGCGTGGAGAGACAGTTCCTTCCCTCGGTGGGGCTGACCCTTTCTTTACATTCCTGTAAGCTGAGGACTAATCGAGCTCATTAAGCTTTATGGGGAAAGAGCTTTTATCACCTCGTCAGGCCAGGCAGCCCATTTCCACTCTGTTCCTCATTCCGGGGCCTCCGCGGCTGCCGGTGTCCACTCCCTTGCCAGGCTGACGTCGGGCGTCTCCCTCGACAGAAATTTTTTATTGACATTTCGAAGTCTGAATTACATTTCGCGTGGCACCACTTGCAGATGTCTTCAATTAGACGTAGGTAAATAAAAGGGATTATATATCAGAGCCTAAAGATTCTTGAAATTCTCCCTGTAGCCAGACACTGCCAGCCAGCCCAGTAGCGGGCAGCCGTGTCATTCTGGCGAGTGTTAGGGGAAGCTGGACCATGTGATGGCAGGCTGCTGCTGCCGCTCTGGTTTCTCTTCCCCGCGTGGCCTTCTGTCCTTCTGTTGCAGATCAATTAGAACATCTTTGTTAACAGTGATCAGAAAGGGCCATAGAAACGGCCCGGGGGCACGCAGCCAAATCTCTGTTCACCCCGGCTGAGTGGCCCTGGAGTCTGTCTCTGCTACTTCCGGTGTGGCCCAGAAACCCAAACCAAACCAAAACCAAACCGGGGGCTAGGGAGTGTGTTTGCCTTGCATGTGGTCAGCCCAGGTGCAATCGCCAGCATCCCATATGGTCCCCAAGTACTGCCAGGAGCAACCCCGAACATCGACAGGTGTGGCCCCCTCAAAAGACCCCCAAATAAAAATTAAAACCATCCCTTCCCCCCCCCCAAAAAGCCCCAAACAACTCATAAACCCAAAAACCAAAACCAATGATCAGAATACTAAGAGAAGTTGACACCTAGTATTTTTTTTTTTGTACATGGTGCTAAGCTGTTTGCTGTCCCTTGTCTCTGAGATCCATCCTCCTTGGTTTTGTGATGGAAATTGAAGCTGTCAGAGGTTCCTGGAGCTCAGAGTCCCTTTCAGTATTAGTGGAGCTACTGGTGTGCCTGGGCATTTGTCTTGCACGCCGACCTGGTCAACCTGAGTTCGATCCCTCCGCCCCTCTCGGAGAGCCCAGCAAGCTACCCGTGATGTAGTAGATACGCCAAACACAGTAACAACAGGTCTCACAATGTTACTGGGCCCGCTCAAGCAAATCGATGAACAATGGGAGGACAGTGACGGTGACTTGTGTGCCCGAGTGAAGGCTGCTCTCGGCCCCTCAGGGATGGGGCGCGTAGAAGAGTAGCTAAGGGAAGTCTGGGCTGTTGGAGAGGTCAGCCCGGTGCCAGCACTTCTGGCCAAGGCCCAGTTGATATTTTGGGGTCCTGCAAATCTTTTTTATGGGTGCTCTTGTGCGACGCTAAATGGCTCTGGCCTCCACCCAGCAGATGTCCATCGCGGCCTCCCACCAGGTTGGAACGGAATGTCCACGGGCTCCAGCTCCCTTGCTTTGACAAAGCAGCGGGCGGCGCTCCCGTGCTGGAGAGAGCTGACGGCTCAGCAAAAGGAAGCTCTCGGGGCCTCAAGGGGCAGGACTGGCTGGGCGACAGGACAGCAGGGAGGGCGTTCACATTGCATGTGCCCAACCTGGGTGCGGTTCCCGGCACCCCAAAGAGTTCCCCAAACACCTCCAGGAGTGATCCCTGAGTACAGAGCCAGGAGTAAACCCTGAGCATCACCGGGTGTGGCCCTAAAACCAAACCAACAAAAGAAACCAAGAGGCAGGAACACCGGAAAGCCAAGGCAGCCTACATCAGTCTCTGTGCGGATGAACCCGTTAGCTGCAGGGTTGCCCAAATGCATGGCACACGCCTGTCATCTGCACCCCTAGAGTGCTCAGCTCTCAGAGCACCAGGCAGTGCTCAGGGCTGCTGATTCCCGGGCATCTGGGCTGGCGGTTCAGTGTGAGGACCCACGTTCCCGTGTCCTGTGGTGCCAGGTGAACTTAGCCACCCAGGCAGGGCTTGAGGGTCTCCGGAGCCTCACCCAGCAGCCCTCGGGGTGGCGGAGGCAGGGGGTGGTCTCCAGGGCTCTGTCCAGTGGTGTTTTCGAGCCCATACAGTGCTGGGGCGCAAAGCCCTGTACTGCCTCCTCTGCTGCAGAAACGGGATGTTTTCATTGTTTAAATTTTAGCTTACTCACGTTGGCAGTTAGTAGCTATTTACTGGACACTCCAAGTCTGGATGGGCTGGAGCGATAGCACAGTGGGTAGGGCATTTGTCTTGCACGTGGCCAGCCTGGCCGACCTGAGTTCGATTCCTCTGCCCCTCTTGGAGAGCCTGGCAAGCTACCGAGAGTATCTCGCCTGCTCGGCAGAGCCTGGCAAGCTCCCCGTGATGTATTCGATATGCCAAACACAGTAACAACAAGTCTCACGATGGAGACGTTACTGGGCCCTCTCAAGTAAATCGATGAACAACGGGAGG